ACCTCCACCAGCACCTGATTCCACTACATCTCCAACGGCACCTGAGACCACTCCATCCACTACACGCACTACACCTCCACCACCGCCTCCATCTCCACCGGCACCTGAGACCACACTGCCGCCACCGGAGACCACCCCCTCCACAACATCTCCGCCGGCATCAAAGAACACTAGTCCTGTTGAAGCAGCTGCAGCCAAAACAGTACCCACACTTAGTGCCGAGGCGTCCCAGGAAGAAAAGGATGAACACATGATCCGATCACGAGTGGAGAAAATGGATGACCACGAGTTTTCCAAAGCCATGGCCCATGCTCGTGCTAGCCCGTTACTGGGCAGCTATATCAAGAACGGCTTGGGTTTGGAGGGCGATGACCTGAAAGAGTTCGAGTTTGGTGGTTTTGATGAGCTGGAAGAACTGGTGAACTTTGAGTTGTGGAAGCTTCAGCATGACCGCAAGATTGCAACGGCTGCTCCCGCTCCTGTGCCAGCCGCAGCCCCACAGGTTGCAGTCGCTGCTACTCCAGCACCTGAAGCAAAGACACCAGTGCCCATCCTCCGTAAACCCAAAGTTAGCTTTGCAGAGCCTGTCCAGGCTCCTGCCAAGCCTGCCAAGTCCAATTGTGCTTCTGCGGGCTTTGTGGTTGAAGGGACTGTTCTTTAGCTGCATGAGTGAGAAGAACAGGAACCATAAACTAACTGTACCTGCTCACACATGTACCGACCCGATAATGTACCCCCTATATCATGGGATCTTGCCTGGGTCAGTATAGCATCTCAGGCTGTGCCCGTGAGCTATGAAGATTACAATGAGCGCCAAAAGCACTATGCTCAGATGAAGAGGCATGTCAGCAACAATTCCCAATGTCAACGTGCTAACTACTGGAACATTGTTGAACACAAAGATTGGGACACCTCTTTTGGTACTTTGTCCATGCAGGCAGCTGAATTCAGATGACCCTCAAGGTGAACATGGAATTCCCGAGGACATTGTAAGGGCTTGGAAAGCTGCTGTCCAAAGCAAAAGCAAGCATACAAAGACTGCTCTTTTTGCTGCGTTTCTCAAGTCTGGGAAGAACTGGGGGCGGCTACTTAGCTAGATTCCAAATCTATTTTTGTTGGTCAATCGTAACATGTTCGATCAGTGTTTACTCAATCTTCGGTTGCTAACCTTGCATCAGGGTTCTTAAGATCCAAGGCTGAAGGTGAAGCACACTCGGAGCCGGACTGAACGGCAGACTGGAAGGCGTAGGTATGGTGCCAGCCTCAAACTCCCGATCACCACAACACTCCTATCTGTGATGCAAACGAACTGTATGTTCGTGTACGCACACATGATGTGTTGTGTAGATGAGTGTGCACTTGTTGAGGTTGGCGTACACGAGACCAGTTGCTGAAGCTTTACAACGGGAACACGAACCTTGTGGAACAAATCATAGACAGGAAGCTGTCCATGAATGAATACAAGGAACACCCAGACTGTCCGGACGACGATGCAGCCATCCTCTACTATGTGATGGTCGACATTGACACGATCCATGACGATGAGACGGCAGAGACGCTGGAGACGTCAGCAAACATGTCAGCGGACATGGGCACCGAGGCGTCCATACACACACAAACATATAAGTCCAAGGGACTTGGAAAGGAATTGATACCTTCTGATCGCATGTATGCCATGCAGTGCTTGTGAGGCGGCCCAGCAGCTGGGAAATCCCGAGCTCACTCAGCACCTGTTGCACAACACCTCGACGACGCCACGAATTCTGCAGCTGAAGGGTCGTCAGAATCAGAGCCACCACCCTGGTAGCTCTGGTGACCCTCCACCCGGGGTAGTTCCCAACGACAGCCCGATTTTTGCACTTCATGAAATGCAGAATCAGTTGGCTGGCCATGTTCATGTACCCGCTCCTGTTCCGGCGGGCCCGGAGGGTGAGGGGGGGACTGATAGCTCTGGACCTGAAGAAAGGCCCAAACGACCGAAGAAGAAGCTCGGCTGGTCAAACACTAAGTACTAAACGCAATGTACGTCTGTGTTATTGTATACCTGTGGGACACCAATGGGAGTGTGCTCGTGACACAGAACCTCGTGAGGACGAATGAGATGCCCGATGAACCTGTTCCCGCAACCATGTGGATCATACCAAAGCTGCTGGCGCAGCTTCAGGAGGCCAAGATGTGGCCCGTGAAGCTTAGGAATATCAAGCATCAGGATGCTCTCAGTCCTTTAGCAAATTACTCAAGTGAAACTTGTTATATGTTTGTTTTGAATCGACATGCACGTATATAGATATGTTTTGATTAGGGCTGAACCCAGGCAAGCAAATGGCCGCACATGGTGAAGAGCTCGAAAAGAGTTACTACCAACTTCAGGGTATTGCGGTAAAGGACCCTGTAGTGCAATGAAGAAACATTGGGGAAAACTTAGAGCATTAGGGACAAGAGAACAGCTATACGTACTTTCATTGATACTGCAGGACCCTGCTATGGTGGACCCTGCTGGTGTGAAGGCTGCAAATGATTTGGCATTGCAGCGGATGGCCATGTACACGGAGGAGGGGCCGTTCTTGCTATGATTTCCATTCTTAGCCATAGCCATAGCACTAACAGCTCAATGTCATATCTAACTGACCCATCACTTATCTTTCAAGCTAGAATCTTGGGGTGGTTTGGAATCTCCAGCCCATGACTCAGGACAAGGGTACTGCCAGCAATGTCACCAAGCAGAAGAAAGAGCCCAAAGCTAAAGCAAAATCTAAGTCCAAGGCCTGCCAGTCATTGATCTGAAGAACCCCCTAAAGCTAAAGTCTTTGGACGTACAGACCGTACATCAACTTTCAAGCTTTTGCCATTGCTGCGGTCTGGGAGACCGGGCCCATGTTTTGCAGGCGAAGGCACCCACATCCTCGACGCCTTCACGTCGTGTCCGTGGCAAGTCGCAGCCAAAGTGAATTTCGTGGGCCCAAAAGGGAGGCCTTTAGATTTTCAAGGTATGCTCAAGTTTTCCTCAAAGCTTGGGAAATGCAATCTTAGTTCACTGCTTCAACCATAGGTTGATTGGGGTTGAGCGTGATGGAACACGTTCATGTGATTGGGGACAAGTGGGAAGGAAAAGGCGTCCCCACTGAAGTTTACACATCGTGGATTTTGGTTGTGAAAATAATTGTGACCTTGTGCACGTGGGTCTGTGCACAGTGCAGGACATGGTTTTGACAAGCGAGCTCAACATCAAAGTCAAAAGAACAAGAAGGAGATATCGAACACATACATGTCTTCAGACTCACTTTTGGCTAAGACACTGTGAAGCCATACATGCATATAGATATGTGTGGAAAAACATCGAATCAAATTTAAAGACCCAGTTTGCACGGCCTTGGCGATCGCAGGACCCGCCGCCATCCAGACCTCAGCTGCCACCATTCAATGCGAAACACGTCATAGCTGCCAAAGAAGCTGCGGAAAAGAACCAACCTGTTGTTCAAGAATTCTCTCATTTGCTGGTGGGCAACTTTGCATCTGGGAGATCCAGTGGATCTGAAGCAACCTACCTGTAGAATTAGGGCTCTGCAGCTGGTTCCAACATTTTTCTTTATCTTTCTCTGCGCACAGTTCTTTTTTAAATATGTTTTTTGGGGGTCCGTGAAAAGCTTAGCCAATGACCAAGGTGTAAACAGTTCCTTTGTGGGTGTTTGTATTCATGGGGTTAGACAACCACTCTCCACACAAGGTACAAAGGACTGCAGCCTCTGCCTTGAACTGGTGCGAAAAACATGGAGGGAATGTTGAACCCTCTGATGTGGTACATCGGATTGCTGGACTTGGGAGCTCCGGCAAGTACAGTGCCAATTGCGAACGGGACATGCATACGATGCTGAACACATTTGGTCTCCGGCTGCATGCCAATATTTCAGCGATTCGAGTGAGGAGTTCTTAGTTTCAGTGTGGTTTGAAGTTCAACCATGTATAGTATTTAACATTAATATGTGCTCGCTCTGCACCTGGCAAAGCTGTGGAATCAATTCCAGTTAATGTATGTATAGCTTGTGTTCTAGCGCAAGTCATCAATAATATTTAGGATGCTTTGTGCCGCCAGGATGTACAACCACACTGCTGTTCGAGAAGAATTGCAAACACTGTCCATCCTCTACCCTGATGATCTTGCGGAAGCGATTTTTGCACAGGGCGAAAATATATTTCGATCGTGCATGTTTGGCAATGTGGACGCTGCTGAGTTTTGGGCTCATTGTGCCACGCACTGTGAGTGGTTCAAGAACCACGCCATGTATTCGTATGAATGCAAAGAAAAGCTGATACCACTGTCGCTATACGGTGACGATGTCAATACTTACAGAAATGCAGAGGTCGGTGCAGTTTCAATCATTGCCTGGACAAGTGACTTTGGCTATCTCAACAAGTCCTGCCTTCGTTATTGGCCCATTTGTGTGTACTCCGAGCATTGCAGCACGGAGGCTTCGCTGATCAGTTTGTGTCTATATTTGTAGTGTGCCCACCTCACGGTTTGTTTTGTTGCATGCAGGCATGACTTACAGTGTGGACTTCTCAAGCTGAGGAGCACACACATGAAGATATAATGCGCTATTTGACAGACCGCTTGAAGTCGATGTGTTCAAGGGAGCATTTGTTTGGATGGAGCAGCAAGGGGTATTGCTTCATGTTCTCGTCCTTGCAAGGGGACTTGAAATGGATCCACGAGAAGTACGGGCTCCACAATTTTAGAGCGAATGCATGTTGCAGCACCTGTGGTGCCCTGAAGTCAGCCGATGACTTGAGTATGACGATTGCAGATTTCAGGCCAGGAGCTTCACATGTTGGAACAGAACCAAACTTGGATGAGTTCTACGCTATGAACCCTTGTATCTTTGAGCTCGCTACACGAGACCGTGTATTACACGATTGCATGCACAGTCAGCTTTTAGGAACTGGCAAGGTTTGCAACGGCAGTGTGCTGATATATCTAGCTGAATCTGGCTTGTGGGGCCGTTTGCAAGGTGGCCGTGGTGCAGGCAAATACGATGATTGTTTGGAAATCTGTCTGAGAGCTGCACATCAAGACTTCTTATCATGGAAAAAGCAACGGAAGATCAACACATCTCAAGCAAGATTTACACCAGCTCGTTGTTCGCGAAAAAGCCGGCAGCAATATCCAGCCCTCAACAACAAAGCTGCAGCTTCAAAGGCTTGCACCATGTGGCTGGCAGAGAGGGCAAGTGAGTTTGCTGCGCGGGTTCCTTTGGTTTGCTTCTGATACGCTTTGATAGTTGTACTTTGTGTGTTTGTGTGATGTATAGATGCCCCCATAGGTTGCATCATATGCAAAGAGGCTGGTGCTACGGAGCAAGATCAACTTATGTGCACCACCATTCATAGCTACGCATCAGCATTGATCCTCATGGACGAGGCGGATCTTTTGATGAGCGACGGGGAGGCCACAAAGTTCTATGACCTTGTGATGCGACACCTGCAGACCCATGCACTGCTGAACAAAAGATCTCGCCTCCTGGTTGGAAAGGCGGTTGGCAGAAACATGTGGCTCATCATGCCTAAACACCATCACCTTTTCCATGCAGCCCATCGTGTGCGCACCGAGAGAGTCAATCCTCGAGCTTGGGCGCTTTTTGCTGGAGAAGACTTCGTGGGTCGAGTGGCCCGGATAGCTCGTGTTTGTCACAGGTTGACAGTCAGTCAACGGACTCTACAGCGCTACCTCGCACTTGTATATTTGGAGATACAAAGCTCGAGATCTTGAGCATTCTGTGAAAAAGTGTTGGGTGTGTCTGTGCGTTTGTGCATGGGACCGTGTATGGTACCAACGGGCAGGCTTGGGCCCCGGGCATGTAGGCCTGACTTGAGATATCTTGGCAGTTTGAGCCAAAATGACGTCCCACCCGACGTCCCACCTGACGTCCCACCCAGGGTGGGATGTCGCAAGAATTTTGCGACGTCCCCAACCAGGCCCGACGTCCCTCCGACGTCTCAGAGTCTTAGGGGACCAAAAATCGCCCGAAAGAGGTCCTCCGCGTACGCCCCCAGAATGTCTAACGTTGCTTTCGGAACCCGTAAAATAAGT